AAGTTTGAGAACTACATGTCTATAGTAGAGCTACTTACATATGTGGTTTTATGTTTTCAAGTAGACATGGTAAAAAATAAATATGCAAATAAAATGTAAAGTTAATTTTAATAATATATTTTATTTAAATTAATGTTCTAAAATATTATCATTCAAATATAGTCAATATAAAAATATTAAGATATTTTACATTCTATTTTTATACAAGTCTCCAAAATCCAGTGTACGTTTATGCTTATGGCATGTCTCAATTCAGATAGTAAATTTTCATCAGAAATATTTGATCTGTATTTAGATTTCATAAAATTTACATTTAAAAAAATGGATTCACCTATCCAAGTTGTTCCAAACACCTTTTAAAGTTTTCCAATAAACGAATATCAGTTTTTTAATTTAAATTTAAATTAATTTAAGGTAATTAACATTTAAAATTCTGTTTCTGGCTAGCACTAGCCATGTCTCCAATACTCAATAGTTGCATGTTGCTAGTAGCTACTGTGGTGGACAGTGCAGGCCTGTATGATCACGAATCATACGGTTACTACACCACTCATGAAATCTGTAATGCTGGAAAAGCACTGGCATCACTCCTTAAATAACTCAATGTGAATTAAATAAATGTAGATTAATTTTCTATGATTATACAATATTATTAAAATCTGAGAAAAACTGAAACCTATTCAGTGGTTTTGAAACTCTGAGAGTTTGGAACTATTAAATGCCAGCCCTCCACCAATTTATAAAGCCACAGGCATAGCCATTTGTCCTGAACATTCAGACACACAATGTTCTACCTAATAGGAAAATCAATTCAAATATTAACAAGTATGAAGAGAAAAAGGGAGGTTGAGTTGACAGGAATTTTTTTCAAAGATATGTTAAAAGAACAATAAAATGCTAAAAGCACAAAGTATTGCAAGTGAAATGAGAATAGCATAAAGAAAACTAGGAATGAAATTACACATCAAAATCTGAAATAAAATCTTTGATCTACACAGAAGAAAACAGGTTAAAGTAGACAAATATGGCAGTGAATAGAAAGCTGTTATTATGTGGCAATATAAAAACTCTAGAATCAGTTGGAAAGCTGGATGCTAGGCACGTGAGACAGAGAAAGAGAGATTTGGAAATAACTACTGTAACTCCTGACAGCTACCATATGTAATAAAATGGAGTTGAAAAGATTTAATGTCAATTTCTAAGTCATTGGCTTCTTAATTATACAATTTCTGTGTGACAGCAACATGAGCAGTAATTACCACTCTAAAAGGTGGGAGCAAATGCTTCCCAAATGGGATCATGTTGTAATCCTCGTGTGGAAGGAAATTAAAAGAAATTGCCTTTTTCTTTCAGCAGTTTAGAAGTAACTCTAAACTTTACTAAAGCAAGGCTACATATTCGTCTTCAAGATGTATTGTTTAAAGGAGATAGAGATATATCAGTACTAAAATCAATGAAACCATGACCCAAAGAACTATCACTAGCGTAGGCATTTTAACATCTTTCAGTTTCAGCTCTTTTCAGTCAAACTTTCCTGGTTCTACTTAATGTCTTGAAGCCCAAGGCAAGTTTGGGTTCAGTAGTTATCCCAGACTCATCTCAAGCAGCCCCTCTGATGACTAGACTTTATTGCCCTCCCTCCAACCACAGGCTAGGTGGCCCTCCTATAAACTCTCAGTCTCCACTGTGATACTTATCATGCATTAGTCTAATTTCCTGCTTGCTTATTTATCTCTACCACTGGATTATGAGTGCTTGAGAACACAAACTATATTTTATTTACTTTTTAATCTTCAGCACCTAAAATGATATCTGGACCATAACAAGACACTCACAGATTTAATGAATTAATAAAAAATCAAATATAAGTATTTACATCAGTGTTTCTATAACCTAGAAAACATGATAGCAATATGACAGGCAAGAAGAAAGAATCCTTTTTTCCTTTTAAACAGATATTCTAGAAATTCCCATAAATTAGTTACATTCACTGAGAAACTGAGATACAAAAGATAGAAACTTAGCTGCTTATCTTTATCCACTATGTCAACAATATAACGATGTCTTTACCAACTATTTAAAAAAATCTGCATGCTAATTTTCTAATACATATCTTACAATTTGATTTACCCTCCTGAACGGAAGATACTACTGAGAATTAACTCATAATTGGCCGTTTAAAACTAATAATTAATGTCTCTTTAAACATTTTGATAGAACATTGTCTTTACTATCAAACATGTACCACGGTTTAAAAACTTAGTTGCTCTAAAAGAGAAAAAACTACAAAACATGATCAACATAAATGTACTGTAGTGAGAATTATGCTATAATATTAACAGTTTCCAAATGTTTTCCAAGAGTCTGAGGCAGTAATGAGAATTTCTTTCAACAAGGCTATAATTTAATTTTTTTCCAGAGAAATATTTTTAATAGGATTACTGACCCTTTTAAAACTCTTGGAAAGAAAATGAATCCCATGAGCATTCTGGTGTATAACTATTATAAAAATAAATAGAACAGTCAATCAGTGGAAATGGTAATGGACTTGAGAAACTAAACTTACTAAAGAAATGTACATAAGTATGCACGGTGATAGCCACTTTAACAGAGAAAAGGCTCAGTGTATATCAACAAAACAACTAAACACATTGAGACAAATGAAGGGCCTGGAAAGAAGCAGGGAAAATGGGAATTTTGGAAATACAGCTTTAATGTCTTTCTTAAGCAGAACTAACCACATTTACCTTGATCAATTCTGCCGGCTATCATTCAACTCTTAGGCCTGTCCCTAAGTCCTGGTTTCTCAGAAGGTATTTAAATGTTTCAAGGAAAAAAAGGACACTTACTGATTTAAGAGACATTTTTACACTCACAACTCTTTGTGCTTTAAGAGGAATTTGTTCAGGTCATTAGTTTATAATGTGCACTGGTGCCTAGGGATATTTTGAAAGGAGAAAAAAAAAAAAACTAGTATGCTTGAAGATGCAGTTTATGGGACCTGCATCATCATTTATTTCAGCTCAATTTGGGGCCCAAAACTGAACCCAAAATGGAAGTTATCACATCTACAACAGTTTCTTTCTCAGCATGCAATGATCACACTGGAATTTGAAAACAGAGTAAGACCCCTTTTCACAAAAGTAAATGTATTATAACCCCCTAAATATATCAAAGTCCTTGCAAAAAGTTTTTATTCTTCTAGGGCACAAAAATAAAGTCAGCCTTACAAATGATTTCCAAAATAACATGAATTATCAAAATGCCATTAGCATACCAAAATTCATTAATTCTGCCAATTTTACCCTTGTTTCCACCACCCCACCACAGCCATTCATACTGCTATATTTAGGTCCAGAAAACGCAAACTAAATCATCAGTCTCGAACAAAGGAGGTATCTTTCTAAACCCAGGTTCATAGACTAAAAGATAATTTAGTCATTCTCAAGATTAATTTGATCTACATATCATGTCCAAACAGACCACTCACAGTCAGCCCCAAAGTTAACTAGCTAGTTCCTAAATTTTTCATTTCCACTAAGTATAAACAAAACCACCACATCTATGTTTTTTAAGTGTAAACGAAACAGATATCAATTATGTTATATCTTGCCTGATAAAAGAAACAGGTTAGAATCACATTTTCTTTTCATTATAACTACTACTCTTCTTTTACATTTATACATTATAACTATAATTTCATTATAACTACTACTCTTCTTTTACATTTCTTTGGGACACATGAATCATTACTCAAATCATGAAGTCTGGTATCTTAACAGTGTCATGACCTCAGAGATTATGGAACTCCCTGTTTTCACCCTTAGGTACACATTAGAAACACCAGAGGAGGTTTTATAACATACGAATCCCTTGATCCTAGCTGAGCTTCAGAGTGGGCTCTGATGTCGATACATTCTAAAAGCAAGTCAGGTGAGTCTAATGCATAGCTAGGTAGAGAACCAATGGTCTCAAAAACGTGGATCAATGACCCAGAAAGAAACGTGGATCAAGGTTGAGAGCAAGCCGATGGCAATCTGAAGCAGAATCCAGAAGGAAGATAACAACTCAAATGCCACTTGAATGAATGAAGCAGACAATGTAAGCACACATATTTAGACTGTGTGAGTACCAGAGAGCATGGCAAACTAAGGAGCTCACTAGGCAAGGGCTCCTGAGCTCTAGCTGACATTGCCATGAGGAAGTAACAGATATTCTCACTGGATCCCACTCAAAAAAAAACACAAATCAAGATTTTCATGTAAAATTACCCAACTTTCAAATGTTGGCTCAATTACTAAAACAATAACACTGGATGAGGGAAACAAATAATGAAAAACACAACATGGGTTTGGCCTCATCTCACCCAGTCTAAAGGGTTGTTTCCAGTCTACAGAAACCACAACAGGAGCAGCAGCAGCAGCATCACAACAGCAATACCAATACCTAACACTCAGTAAGTACTTATTATATATTAGTCACTACACTAAGAGTTTCACATGGATTATCTCAATTAACCTTTCTTAACCTTTGAGAGAAGTACTATTATTATTCCCCTTTTATTCAAAAACTACCTCCACCCATGATCACATGGCCAGTAAGTGTGATCCCAGTTTCCAGAAGTGTGCAATGTAATCCATAGTCTATACTATGCTATTTCTCTTTGAAATTTTTTAAAATAGGCTTTTAACAACCTCCACTCTTTGCATTTGGCTTTCTTAAAAAATAAAAGGATTATACTAAATGATTTCTCAAGTCATTTTTAGTTATCAAATTCTGTGGCTCTGACACCATCACACAACTCTTGGATGTATGAAGACTAGTATTTATATCATCAGTAACATTAGGGCACTGGTCACGAGTGCCCTAGTAAGAATTACCTGATAAATGAATGGAATGAATGTTCACTAAATAGTCTTTCTTAAGAGGCAACAAAAACATAAACTTATAATAATATTATTTATCTCTATTGCTGCAGAAAGTTTACTTCTCCATTTTACCTTGTGAACGACGAGCAAAAGTGTTCAGAAATTCTTCATCATTTGTTTGTTCATGACAATTAAGGAATTTATCCAAGACTTCTTTGATTAACTGATCTTCATTCATTATTTCCAGTCCTGACACATGGGTAGACATTTCTATTCACGAGGCCACAGTATCTGCAAGACAGAAAAATACCAGCTAGAGAGCAACAGGCAATACTAGCCCCTTTGAAAATATTCTGGATGGGTAGGTTGAAAAATCCCAAGGCTCCAAAAGAAAGATCAAGATAGTTACTAGAGCAACGACCTCTAGTTCAAGAGATCAGAGTTTTATTCATATCTTTGCTGCTGAATTGTTAACTATCACAATTTTATTTTTTGCTTCAGTCTTCTCATTACTATCTTCTTAATTCATAAGAATATTGTCATATATTCATAAGAATATTGTCACCCAATTACACAATTAGAAATTCAAAGTCTTTCAAGGTAGGAGGAACTTTAAAGAGTACTCAACTAACCACCCATCCAATGACAATAGCTTAGTGACTTATTTAGTAGTTACTGTGTACCAGGTGCTGTTCTGAGTAATTTTTTTTGTTAATTATCATACAGTCCTAGATAAGGTCACAGAGTCAATACGGAGAAGTGCCAGCTCAAGAAGTCTGATCCTAGAACCCATGCCTTTAAACACTTCACTATCCATCACTCTATTCACTGGGTGACCCGCCCTCCCCCCTCTCCAGCCCCCACCTTCCCTACTATCACTGATAAAAGTTGACTTGCCTGTGCATCAACACATCCAGGGACTGGTAACTCTGAACATTCCAAAAAAGCCTTTGCACAGCTCTGTTAAAAACTTTTTTAAATTAAGCCTAAATCTGTCTCCCTGAACCCTACCCCAACTGGTTTCTGAGCCCCCAATGTCGTACTGAAAAATTTCAGTCTTTCTTATACATGACATCTTTTCAAATATTTGAACAAGGTTATACTGTCCTTTGTCAATCTTCTGATTTCATTCACTGAAACAAATCCATTTTTCAAAACCCAGCTCAGAATTCCGCTTCTCTCTGAAGACTTATCCTTCCATCTCCCACTACTGCAGGAAGAGTTAATCTTAATTTATCTGTGTTCATTCTGTACTAGGGTCTACTGTTAAATTTATCATGCCATATTGGAAATAGTTGTGTACATTTCTGTGTTCTCTACTAGACTCGGAGACATAAAAGACAGAGTCCACATCTCTTCATCTTTGTATCCCAAATGCTTGATAGCTCAGGATGTGGCATAGAGCTGGCAGTCAATCAATATTGAGCTAACATTACTCATTTGAGCAGGTACAACAGTCAAGTATTGCTAGAAGCTGGCAAAACACTAAACTATACTTGCTCAATTATTTCATGTGTACCCTATATGACATGGTTTCAAATCCTTAAATCCTCCTGGTCAATCTATCTGGAAAAAGTTTCACACTGACCGTACCTCTTTGTATATACCATCCACAACTGAACACAAGACTCCAGATACGATGAGATTAGACTAACTCACATTCTCAATATTCCACTCATGCTATACAGCTAGAGCTCACATTTACACTGGTAGTGGCCATTCCACATTGTCATTCATTTAGCACAGTGCTAACCAAACACCTGTCAGCTGAGACGCAATGCCTCAATCCAAGCACAGTTTGGACTTCGTTTTCACTTACAATATTTCACCTTGTTAAACTCCATTCATTCTGTATAAAGTATTCTTCTTACATAGCTTTGAGAAAATTATCTACAGAAAGCAGATATGTAATTACTGCCTAAGTAGCCACTATACTACATGGGGGACCGTAAAAAAGTTGGGGTTTCTCCAATACTGTAAGGAAGGGAGAGCACCAAGCTTCCTTCTATCTGAAACAAGAGTACACATCATTAATTTTTTCTCCCACTTTTCCTTTACACATTTATCATTTTAAAAATACGAATAGCATGTGTATGATATAAAATTATAGAAACCTTTAAGTATCTCCTGACTGCCAATTCCCAACCATCAGAGGTAAATGCTGTCAAAAGTCTAAAGAATGTACTTCTAAATCTTTCCCTATAATGTTTATAGAGAATAACAGATTTTTTCTAAAAATGGAACCATATTATACATCATTCTTTACAGCTTTAATTTAATAAGTTATCATGGACATATCACCACTTTAGTATATGCAGATCTGGCCTATCTGTCAAACAGCTGTATAGTCACAGCCCAGCTCTGCCACTCACTGTGTAGCACTGGGCAAGTTACTTGACCTCTCTGGGTCTCTGTTCCCCCATATCTATAAAAAGGCATTACATCCCAGCACTTTGGGAGGCTGAGGCGGGTGGATCACTTGAGTTTGGAAGTTCGAGACCAGCCTGAACAACATGGAGAAACCCCATCTCCACTAAAAATACAAAATTAGCCAGGCGTGGTAGCACATGCCTGTAATCCCAGCTACTCAGGAGGCTGAGGCAGGAGAATCGCTTGAACCCGGGAGGCAGAGGTTGCGGTGAGCCCACATCGCACCATTGCACTCCATCCTAGGCAACAACAGCGAAACTCCGTCTCAAAAATAAATAAATAAATAAAAGGGATTACAACTGTACAGGTCTGTATTTCCTTAACCTCAATTCCAAAATACCAAAAAGCTCAGGAAAAAAAAAATTTCATAAGATAATGCCCAAATGCATTTGGGGGTAAGACCTGATTGAATTAACATGAGAGTACTTATGGCTTTTATTCTACTCAGCATTACTATTCATATATTTCCCTGTAGAAATACCAGTGTGCTTGCATATAAGGTGCTTTCCCAGAACCAGCCTAGAGATTTTGTATAATATATGGCACATGCACTGATTACCTTTCTAAACTCCAAAAAGTTCTTATTTCTGAAGCACATCTGACCCTGAGGGTTTAAATAAAGAATCGTGAAGCTACACATGCCTCACAAGATTACTATGAAAATTAAATGAGTACACATGGCATCTCAAAAAATGTTAGCCAGGATGATGATGATGATGGATCAGTCTTAGGATTCTGTCCTTTGCCTACACAAAGACCTGTTATAACTGTGCCCACACAACTTTGAAGGCAGTGATGTTATCTAAAGATAAATCAAGATAATTCCACATGTATTACAACCCCAGAGAAAGCATGGAGTTGTAGAGGACTGAGTGAAAATTAAAAGTGTAGCTGGGTACCAACTTAAAACAAAAGAAACTGTTTCAAGCTTTTGTTAGATATATAACAAAATATATATCATATATCTAACTAAAAAAGTTAGATATATGAAAAAGCATCGGTTATGGCTTAGGCACATTTACTTGTAACACCGCCAAGGCTTTAGCCATGCAAAGCTGAATAAATTGTGTTTGCCGTAGCTAGACAGTAACTAATGATAAGTAAACTCAAAAGTGGCTATTATTTCACTACATTAGCATGTATACTTCATTACAAGAATTTCAATGTCAATCTGCTTTTCCAGAATTGGAGCCTAGAAAAATTTCAAAAGTTTATCAATCTCTTCTTTAAAATCATCTTTGGTAAGTTACTTCAGCAAACAAATACCAAACAGATGCAGCCAGGTTGTAGTTTCCATTCCTGTAAATGTCTTCTCATAATGCTTTAGGAGTGTTAACAGAAATTCCTTTAAACTTCTTTTCCACTTCTCAAATTGGCATATTTTGAGTATTATTCAACACATCTCAGTAGTACTAAAAGCAAACAATTAACAGATTGTGCCAGCACAAATTCAAAATCTTTCTAGACCTTTAATTTTATTTGTGTGGTTACCCCAATACAGAGATGACATGCTTTTATTGACTATTGTTTGTTTGTTTGTTTGTTTGTTTGTTTACTTTGAGACAAAGTCTCACTCTTGATGCCCTGGCTGAAGTGCAGTGGCGCGATCTTGGCTCACCGCAACCTCTGCCTCCCAGGTTCAAGCAATTCTCCTGCCTCAGCCTCCCGAGTCACCAGGATTACCAGGCGCCCCCTACTATGGCTGGCTAAATTTTTTTGTATTTTTAGTAGAGACAGGGTTTTGCCATGTTGGGCAGACTGGTCTCGAACTTCTGACCTCAGGTGATCCACCTGCCTCAGCCTCCCAAAGTGCTGGGATTACAGGTGTGAGCCACCGTGCCCGGTCTTATTGACTTCTTAAAGGACTTCTGGAACATCCAGTTTCACAAACTGTCATTATTAGAAGAGCTTAACAATACCCATCTTCAAATTTAGAACTTGCCTTTTCTACAAAAATACAAACCTAATATTAAAAGTCCCCAGGGACTGACAGAACAGATAATCACTTATCAGACAGCCAAGTGGTTTATGCAAATCCTAGTGGTTTTCTAAAAGGAAGCAATGCATTTTCAATTACCATTCACATACTTTTCTGTTTTTATCATGAAGTATTTTTCTAAAAGAAAAAGCGGGGGAGAGAGAGAGAGAGACACTTGCCTGGATAAGAGAAATCTTTGTTTTGGTTTGGTTTTTATGTTTTAAGGCTTTGAGCTCCACATGAAAGACTCAAAACGTCTTGAGGTAAGTAAATGTGTATAAATATCTGCTGGTAAATCACAAGCAACACTTTCACAATCATGGCCCCCAGAAGGAAATACAGGGAACATGCACTGCTCCTTGGACTACTACACTTCATTTGAAGACCACAGGCCTGGTAAGGAATAGGTTTCACTTTTTACCAAGTCACTGAGAGATAGAAAAATCATATAACCTCCCTAAAGTCTTGTTTTCTGCTATCAAATAATGAAGCTAACAACCACCTAAGCTAGTTAATGTTATGTGCTCTCTGAAAGAACATTATTATGAAATATGGTATATGAAATTGTCAGCACTGATTCAGCACATCTTTGATGTTCACCTTCAGACACCTGTTAATGAACTCACTCAAACAAAATGCAACTTTCAGACACAATAGTCGACCTAAAGAAGTAAATCACCACGAGCTTGCTTCTCTGAAAGTGCATAGCGTACTTTTTAACAGCACTAGGGTTATATGCCTGCAAAAAAAAAGTAGGGGGCAGTGGTTCAAAACTCTGAGTCATGCAGGTCTATGAAAGCCCACTTACTCAAAATTGTATTCTTCTGCTCAGTAACAATCTACTGCTATACCGAAAGGTAAGATGGGATATCATCAAAATATT